GTCATCTCTAAACTAGTTTCGAGAACTACATCATAAGCATATCGAATTGTTCAAACAGATATCGAAAATAATTAAAAATGCGTCAAACGAACGTCTTAAAAAGAGATGCATAACTCGTCACTTCTTTAAAAAATTTCAATTATTATTATTTTTGCGATACAAATTTCTCAATATAATTTATAATATTTTATTAATTTTTTTTTACATGGGACATGATATAAAAAAAATTTCGAACTTTACATCCGAAAAAGTCATACCCTTGTAAATTTTCGGATGTAAAATTACATAGGGTATGAATTTTTTTTTTTTAATGTAAATTTTCGAATGTAAAATTCTTTCCAACTTTTTTTTTCAACTTTGATTACCCCCCCAACTCAAAATATCTGTATCCACCCCTGATGGAAGTCGCCATCTTAATGATTAATGAACCTCTTGAAGATTAATATAAGAACAAATTACCCAAACTTCCCACGAGGTATGACATTTACAGAGATCGAAGGTTTTTTATTTGTTCGATTTACCCTTTCATTTCAACTCTCTTTCCTTACTGTATATTAGAGTTAGGGAAGCCATAGGAGAAAAGAGTAAAAGCAACAAATAGTAAGATTGCTAAATATAGTCTTCTGAATTATTATTTATTAGTATACCATATTTTTTTGAACAAACGTATCTTTAAAGAGTTAAGGCATCCCAAAAACTTTGACAATAGACAGGTCTACATGCTTCATGTTCTCAGGTTGGTATCAAGTGTGTTCTACTCCGGAAATTGTACATCAAAATTGATTATTACTATATTATGCTTTCTTCTTCTACTAATCTGTCTGTATATCTTCTTCTGTTGTTTGGGCTTATTTAGGTTCATGCTTTCAATGGCCGTCCTGTGAAGAATTTGAAGAGCTTGGCCAGCATGGTAGAGAGCAGCATGATGAATATTCGGAATTCAATTTAGAATACCAGCAGCCGGTGGGGCGTTCTTATTTTGATGCATGAGCGTGTACTAATTCTTGCCGATTGTATATTGTAACTTAGTTTTGTTTTTGTTTTTGACAGATCGTTATCCTTCAAACAAAGACTGCAAACTTTGTGCTTAAAAGTACGATTTATGTTATGTTTGTGACTCTAATTTTATGTGATTTAGAAGTCCGGTTTCATAAAGAATCAAATTTCATCATGGATTTGAAGTTTTATTGGGATAAGGACTTTGTGATGGATGAAAAAATGTTTTGAAAACATTAGGATGGAGCCGGGACGCCGGGATGTGGCGTTGGAATGACAAAGAACGAACAGACGCCGGCCTCGGGCTCCAAGGTACCACTTGGACCCCAAAAAAAGTCCTTGTTGATTTATGGCTCTATTTTTTGTGTTCTACTTCATCCATAACTTTAAGATTTGGCACCTATATATATTCCACGAGATGTAGGCTCTTTATGGACTCAAGATAACAATTAGATTATCGTTGTATACATTAGAAATTTGAGAGAATTGTTTAGATTTAGATTGAGAGAATCAAATCTCGTAAAAACAATTTTATTTTCTTGGTATAATATCTTTCACAAAAAACTTGTTTTCTTTGTGATCAATTATTTTCATATTACTCATATTATTCTCGTCTTTAATTATTCGACAAAATTTCTAACAAGTGGTATCAGAATTGAAGTTTTTTTGGCGAGTTCTTGGAATGTCCAAATTGGTCATTAAAGCACGATTTGAACAAGGTTGATTGTTTCAGGGATTTTTTGAGATTCCCTTTTTGGATTGCAACATTAGATTCTCTTTGTAGCAGATCAAGCTGCAAGCAGCTATTGTTCAACTAGATCTTGATGATGCTTTATTAGAGATAAATAGAATGTTCGCAAATATTACTGCGAATGAGAAATAACACAAGAATCATAAAGCTCTATCACATATACATCTTTATCTTTCAAATCAAATTCTTCAAGATGTGGTAAATGAAAAAAGTGTCGTTGGGTTGTAGTTAAAATTGGAACAGCTTTGTATGGCAAATAGCTTGACAAGTAAGTTACAATTGAAGCAGCACTTGTATTCTCATTGCTTGATGGAAGATAGATCTTTAGAAGATCATCTATCGGTATTCAAGGAAATCATCGCTAATTTGGAGACCATGGAGGTCAAATATGATGAAGAGGATTTATGACTGATATTGTTATGTTCATTGTTGTCTTCATATGTGACTTTTAGAAATACAATTCTCTATAGTTGGGATACCCTTACTATTGATGAGGTATATGATACACTTTATTCAAAGGAGAAGATGAAGCATTTGGTCATAGGATTTGAGGCCCAATCTGAGGATCTTTTTATTCGTGAGAGGAAGACCCATATCTTGCAAAGGAAGACGGTGATGGAATTCTTTTGACAATTACTAAAGGTGATTCCAAACTTGACGATGATTGAATTCTTGATTCGGCTTTCACTTTTCATGTGTTCAAATCAGGATTGGTTTTTTTTATATGAAACAGTTACAAGGGGTTCCGTGATGATGGAAAATATTAAGCCTTGTAAAATAATTGGGATTAGTAATATCAAAATCAAGATGTTTGATGGGAAGGTTAGAACATTTGGCCAGATTTAACAAGTTCTAGGTATAAACAGAAATATAATCTCTTTGAATACTCTTGATTCAAAAGGGTAATGATATATCGATGGAGGTGAATTTCTGAAGATTGCAAGGGTGTTCAGGTAGTGTTAAGGGGACGGACAAAGTCTCATTTATATGTGTTAGAAGGTTCAAATGTCATTGTGGATGCAGCTACAGCTTATGGTTCAATAAGCAATAATTCGGGTAGAATTGGTTGTGATTCGGTTATTCGTGGTGATTTGAACAATGACGTTGAGGAATCTTCTAGTAGCTTAGGTGAAACTGGTTTTGATCTTGTTGTGTTGCTTGTGGTGATTCGAACATGTTTGATAACTTAAGTGGAGTCGGAAATGCTTGTGATTCGAGCACTTTTAGTGACTCAGCTGGAGCTGGTAATGAACGGTGTGATTCAGCAAGTTTGGTGCGTAAGATAGTTCTGCCAGAAATTAGGGTTTGAATTGAGATCATAGTTGCTAAATATACCCGGAAGGGGAATGGTGTTCCCGGAAGGGGCATGGTGTAAGAGTTGGAGAACGACTTGAATAGTGAAGACTTAATTTCTTGGTATGAAATTTGTGTCAGCTTGTTATGTTTGTGACTCAAGTTCCATGTGATTTGGAAATTTGATTCATGGAAGAAGCCTAAATAATGTTGGTTTAAAAATCTGATTTGATAAGGGATCAAATTTTATCATGGATCGAGAGTTTGATTGGGATAAGGACTTTGAGATGGATGAAAAAGTGTTTTGGAAGCATTAGGAAGAAGTCGGGAGATAGGGGAGCAAAGAACGAACAGGGGCTGGGTGTCACTACGCCAAGCAAGAAACGAGGCCAGCGCCGCAGTGCTGGGTGGCGTCAAGGCGCCGAGTGTGTGGCCCACTGCGCCCTGGACAAGAAAAAAGCGTCATGTTGATTGCTAATGCAATTTTTCGTGTTCTACTTCTTCCATAACTCCAAGATTTGATTTCTATATATACTCCACAAGGTGTAAATTAGAAATTTGAGAGAATTGTTTACATTTAGATTGAGAAAATCAAATATTGTAAAGATAATTTTAGTTTCATGGTATAATAAATTATATTATTCTGCAAAAAAATTGTTTTCTTTGCGATCCATTATTTTCGTATTACTCATATTATTTTCGTCTTTAATTATTTGATCGGATTCGTAACAATTTATGTGAGGTTCGCCCATGGAGGGTGATTCTGAGCCTAAGAACAGGCCGAAAGGTGGTGTCAAACTTGAGTTATATAAAATAGTTTCTATTCTTCTTATTGTCTTATATGGGATTGACACTTTCCAAATTTTCCACTAATTTTTATTTCCAATTTATTTCAATTTCAAGTGACAATTTTTTGCCATAATTTCTCATTCACCTGAAATAGATTTTGAGAAAATAAATATACTATGTTGACCTATTTGCAGAGAAGAACACACTTGATCAAAGAAACTCTTCGTCTAACTATCGGGATCCACTCAAATAATTGGTCAAAAGTTGGTAAAACCAACTTTAAAACCAATTTTCTCCAACGCATGCACCTACAAATTTAATTTCTAACAATACTCTTTTTGTGTTGCACTTGTTGAAATTGGGTTTTTGGCCGTTACACTTGTTTTTTAGTGATGATACTCAAGGACCGAATGTTGAAGCAATTGGAAAAAAGATCACAGTGAAACTTGTATGATGTGACATTTGTTTATCTATGAATGCATTTTTGTTAATTTTAGGTCACTTTTTTCATCTAACAACTTCATTTTGTTGTCCATTTCAATCTAGTTAATGAACCCGGGTAATTTGGCTGTTACGAATATTTTAAGATACAAGATTCCCATTAGGATTCTGTCCTCAAATTCTACTTTTAGGTATGTTCATGTTCATTTATGGAAATTGTGCACATACTTAGATTTTGATAAAAATATGAACTTTTACGAAGAACATTTATACCCTCTAAAGATGGAAATTGCTCTCTGGTCACACTTCGGTTGAAAAACAAACCATTATGGCTGAACAATTGAAAATTGTTATACAAATTCAACAATTTTAATTTTTAAACATACTTTAATGAAAATAAACCATATGGAATGTATTGAGATGAACTTTTTTATTGACCAATTCTTGTTAACCTTTATTTCTATAATACTGTTCACACCTTCAGTACACGGCGATTGTGCTGAAGCCACCTGAAATATGAAAAAACAAGAACAAATGGACCCTTTCCACCTGCCGGCTTCGAGCAAGTTTAATCATATTTATCGTTGTCTTTTCTGTTAGTCTTTTGAGTTTTTTTTAGTAAACAATCCTTTCTCATTATCTATCACTGAAAATTCAGCCAACTGGCATTAATTCGACAGAGTTTTCGAGCTTTTTAAGTAACCATTTAATTGGAATTCAGATCATAAACATGATGGATCGAGTTCGTTTGTGGGTAGTTTTTATGGCATTTTTCGTTCTCTTGTCTGTGACAATTGCAGAAACAGTACAAGTGAGAGATGCATTAGTCCAGTTTATGGAAAAACTTGCTCCTGGAAATAATCCAGGAGAAGAAAACTGGGGTTGGAATATGAGTTCTGATCCTTGTATTAATGCCTGGAAAGGGATATCTTGTGATAAAAGTGTGCAATTTGTTCAGAAAATAGTACTTGATAAGCTAAATTTCACTGGTGTTCTTGATGCTGCCTCTGTCTGTTCAGCGAAGAACCTTGCAGTTCTGAGCCTGAACAACAATAATGTTTCAGGGATTTTACAGGATGAGATATCAAATTGCACGCGCTTGACACATTTGTATCTACACGGAAATAATTTATCTGGAAATCTCCCTGGATCACTGTCAAGGTTAAGTAATTTGAAGAGACTTGATGTATCAGACAATGGCTTCTACGGAGGGATACCGGATATTTCAAGAGTCTCGGGATTGCTGACCTTTCTTGCTCAGAACAATCAGTTTGATGGAGTTATTCCAAAGTTCGAATTTTTGAATCTTGAAGAATTCAATGTATCTAACAACAATCTCAGTGGGAGTATTCCTGATGTTGAGGGTCATTTCAATGCAAGCAGCTTTTTAGGCAATCCGGAATTATGTGGAAAGCCACTGCCTAATAATTGCCCTCCTCCTCAACCTCCGGCTGAAGAGAAAGGTTGGTCGAGCAAGATGTATCTTATGTATCTCGGATATGCTCTAATCGCCCTAATTCTTTTGAGTCTTGTTGCCCTCAAAGTGATATGGAGGAACAAGCATAAAGATAAGAAAGAGATTGTAAATAGGGGCTTGCAAACAGATGCCACGAAAGACAAGATTAGTAGCAGAACGTCTAGTGAGTTGAAAAGAGGAAACATATCCGAGTACTCGATAACATCTGTCGAAAGTGGAATGGGTTCGTCATCACTTGTAGTTCTCTCGAATCCTGTGGTGTATGGGCTGAAATTCAAGGATTTGCTTCGATCTCCGGCTGAATTGATCTGGAGAGGACGACACGGAAGCCTTTACAAGGTCACACTTGACAGTGGAGTGACTCTCGCTGTGAAAAGAATCCGGGATTGGGACATTTCGAGAGACGATTTCAAGAAGAGGGTGCATAGAATAGACCAAGTGAAGCATTCAAATGTGATGCCTGTTGTTGCCTATTACTGTTCCAGCCAAGAACAGCTCGTTGTTTATGAATTCCAGCATAATGGCAGTCTCTTCAGGCTTCTTCATGGTAAGTTTTTCATTTTTATCATAGTAGTCAAAGAAATATTCATATTTGCATTCTATTATTTGGATATAGCATTGACCTCACTTGAAATCTTAGCATAAATTTTGACGCTGCTCCTTGGGGATTTAAAAGACAAAGCAAATGTCGAGCTCAGAGGAGCCTAAATATACTGTTCACTTATCCCCATCGACCGCTGATATAAGAAAAGATCACATCTTAATATATTGATGGTAATTTCAGGATCACAAAATGGGCAGTTATTTGACTGGGGAAGCAGATTAAGTGTTGCAGCCAGAATTGCAAAGGCATTGGCTTTCATGCATGAGGAACTTCAAAGAGATGGAATTGCTCATGGGAACCTAAAATCCTCGAACATTTTGCTGAACAATGGAATGGAGCCCTGCATAAGTGAGTACGGTCTATCAGTGGTTAACAATCAAGATTCATCAGTTCTTGCTCCCGATGACAGCTTCCAAGATAACACATTACCCGTTAACAATGCTTCCAACGTGTTTAAGGCCGATGTTTATGGGTTTGGTATCATACTCCTCGAGCTGCTGACTGGGAAGCTCGTCCAGAATAATGGATACGAATTAGGGCAGTGGGTGAATTCGGCTATACGAGAAGAGTGGACGGTCGAATTTTTCGACAAGACTTTGGTTTTGGAGGGTGCAAGTGAAGAGATGGTGAACCTTTTGCAAGTAGCTCTAAAGTGTACAAGTTCAGCACCAGAAGAAAGGCCAAGCATAAGGGAAGTTGCAGTAATCATAGACTCTATTAAGGAATATGAAGAGAAATCTTTCAGTTCTGAGGCCTGATATGAATTCTGATCAGGCATAAAGTTCATCAAATTTCTAAGATGCCAAAACTAATCTGGTTACATTTCATTGCATGTTCTTTTCTTTGTAATTTATTTAGTTTCTTTCAAAATGTAGTAATTTAATGTTCATTCCCCTTTTACACTTCTCGTAGACACAAATTAAGTAAATAAATATATTTCCGTGGCAACTTCAAGTCTTGCCATAACCTATTTCTCAAAATTAATTAATGTGTATCCTTTGTTGATACTCAATGATGATAGTTTGACTCTAACGAAGCTGTTCAAAATGTTGTACGAAAAGATGTGCATGAACAAAATTTTATCCGCAGAAATTAGTCCCTTCAACCTATATCACCCAAGAGTCATAATTATTCGATATTTTGCACTAATACAAGTCTCTTAAATTAATTTAATATATATTGTCTTTTTATTAGGACTTGTTTGGTTCACATTCTAAAAAAAAATTCATTCTTTCAATATTCATTTTCAATCGCACAATCTTCAATAAAATAATATTACACGCAAATCCAAAACTTTTCATTCTTTTTTAACCACGTATTTTCCATCGCATTATTATTTAAAATGCATTATTTCCTTAAAAATGTGCATCAAACGGGGGTAAAAACTTTAGACGTGCTAAACATGTCATTAGTATTCGACACTAAAATAAATCACTTAAATTAGTTTAATAACTCAGTCATACCAAATATCTCATTAAAAATGTAGAAATGGTTAAATAAATAAACCTAAACTATTGTTTACAAATTCCTCGATTAATGGAATCATTAAGGGCGGCATTTTGGACAAATTTCACGAACTCTTTCACTGGTGACAACAGTGATGCAAAGTTGAAAGGATCTCATTTGTCCAATTCACCAATTATTGTTTAACCTTAAAGAAAAAAGACAAAATCAAACATTTCTTTTCACACTCTTTAATTATGTCAAAAAAAGAAAAAGACCGTCATATACTCCTAAAAGCATTAGCAAGTGAAAGATAATCCCATAATCAAGTTACGGCAAATCATTATAAATCTTACCTTCAACACATGATTCGTTTACAAATCAAATTTTTACATGGAAAGACTTGACCATTTTCGTGTTGTTATCGAAAGACTTAACCATTGTAATACCTTCAACTTCATCATATAGATATTCTTGTCAAAATGTGCACAAAATCAACTTATCTTGATATTCATCTGCTATATGGTTTGTTCATTCTCCTTTCTACTCTTATTTGATAGGGGAAATTATTAACAATCCCACCTCAAAACAAGTTACATTTGCTCAATATAGTGGGCCATTTATTTATTAACCAGAATTTTTTTTCTATTAATCATTGCATCTGTACAAGCTCAGAATTTATTTGCAATTAAATTATCAAAGCAAACGCTACTCAAAATTATTAAAAAAAAAAAAAAACCAGGGATGTAGATGTAGACTGATGAGAGATCAAGTTGAACCGTGATAACAAAGGTTGTAACCAGATATGAGAGAGCTTATGGCAAAAGCAATAAAAGCCAGGAAGGACATCGCTATAGATGCACTGGCCATCAATGTGAACTCATCTTTACCCCAGTTAGATGTCCAGTCGTCCACTCTTGTAGCTGCTGAAGAAGATGCTGACATAAGCAAATAAGCCAGAATCTGTTTGACACAAAAGCACAAAAAAAATCCTTTCAGAAAAGCATCAAAAAACAAGCTAAGTCAGTGCTTGTGTAATGAGGCCTTTTGGTCAAGTCCAGAGTGCCATTATGTACCCAACAAAGCAAGAAGCACTCCCTCCTTGGTCCTCTCCCTTTCCAAACTGACCCAATGGGGATGAGTTGTGGGGGTGGGGGTGTCAATTGTTTAAGAAATATAGCTCCAGGACCTAGGAACATATGTATCAATTACTATCATACCTCCAGAAATTTGAAGCTCCGAAAAAAATATAATGACCATATCCTCGTGAATTCATGAGCTTGACACTACACGTCAAAGATTTCTTGTGCGGAGAAAATACAATCTGATGCTTGATCACATCGGCAAAAAGAACAAGAAAAGAAGAAACGAAAAAGAAAGAAAAACTACTTGCCTGATCCATTGAGAAATCAAAATGGTATCGTAGCTGGTGAGTGATTACATATTTTCCCGTGACCAAATGATAGGCTAGATCACATGCTTGAAATCCAGAATATACAAAACCAATAACATTCATGGTTAAAGAATACCTGTGTAACAAAAAAATTACATTAACTGTTTTGAAGAATTGATCCAAAGAAAAAGAAAATAACAAGGACATTAACTAACTTTCACTACAAATCCTGGTCACATAATATTCTAGTATCACAGATCAGAAAAACAGCGACAAATATTTGCATACAATTAGATTTAGCATGTGTCTCTATAATTTTGAAACAAGGACATTGGAAATAATGAATAAATAATCCCCTGCCTTGTAACCTTAGCTTGTTTACATGCTTTGCACCTAGATAACAACAAAAGCACACTTAAACTGCGCCAAGTTCTTTAGCATTCACTTAAATGCTAGTGACACGTTCCCCAAATTTTCTGTATGGGTCTCACGGGATCAGATATGCAAGATTTTTTGAGGAAAAATATTTCCAGCTAAGTGGCTACTAGGAAAGCATCTTGAAGATGTGTACTGTTGATGTTGATAACTTTGAAAATGAGAAGCACACGTTGCTTGCTTGGCAGATCTTTGCGTGTGTGTATGTGTACATATATTTCCTGTTAATGATTGTAAGGAAGAACTCAACAGACAGATGTACATTTACAAATATTAGGATTAAATTTCTTCCGTGTGCAATTGAATAATTATCAGAGATACTGTTCTAACTGTAAAGGATTTGAGCACGTATGATTTATTCAAGATACTATTCTTCAAATAATAGAAAAGGAAACGATATGGTAAACATATTTTTGATAATAGCATGTACATACCACAAGTTTACATTATTTAACTAACTTATTATTTTACTTCTAAAAAAAATTTATATTCAAATAATCAATTAAATTATTATAAAAAAAATAAGCAATTAAAATTGCTGCAGGCGTGAATGTTGCCAACTAATAGCCACAAACAAAAGAAGCAGATTGTGTTTTGTGATCTTCCTTCCAGTCAATTGTTCCTTTAATTTTCTTTTATATATTCCAACCTAGCTTGATGAGAAACTTCATCGGACATATTCATGGTCTTACACAATCCTTTTCAACCAAATGGGAAGAAAAAATCACTATATTGCTCCTAGAGGCAGATTAAACAAACCATAAGCAAATAAACAGATGTCAGACCAACAATAAAAGCATAAATGGAGCATGCCTAGAGAAGCAATAAACCTTGACCCTGAAATTATTGCACTTGAAAATCAAATAAAGGCATACACATCATTTATGACATCAAATCAGTCTCCTACTTACTGAATACAAGCAGTTCTCTTTTTCTTTTTAACTCATAACTAGGGGCGAACACTATTTGAAACCCAAAGATTGTGATTGTATTGAGTTATTTTGACCACATAGATTGGAATGAGTGAGATATTTTCCTAATTTGGGCTCAAAATAAATTTAGAATTCAATCAAAATAATTTCTTCCTTCATTGTTTTTCACGTAATTGGCAATCATATTGAGGAATATTTGCAATAAAGGATTTTCCGAGTAACTAAAAATTCAACTGGTCATTATATTGATAATGCATTTATACTATCAACTTTCCAACCTCTATCCCAAGAATCATGAAATAAAGAACATCTGATGCTAACCAAGAGAAGTTTTCAATATGATCATGTGTGCGCACACACAACTGTCAATAGCTAGGACAACGACAATTATGAAAATTGGACTATGGACACTACACTCAAAACTCAAAGGGACAGAAGTTGAACACAATAATATAAAAGAGTGGCCACCATCAGTCGATGAAATTGGAAACAAGTCGACTTCAATTTGTTTCCATCAGTAAATTAAAAAAAAAAAATGTTTCCGTATCTAGGTAACCACCATGCATTGGCGATTTGTCAATTAGTGGGAAAAAAAACTGCCTTTGTTGTCCCTTATAATTTCAGAAATATAAGGGACGGATTTGCCAACAGAACTAAAATAACTAAAGCAAAAATATATATTCCCAACAATTTATCGATGGATTTGCCAACAGAACTCCGTCATAGTTAAACTTACACAATGAAACTTGCCTGTGGTCGGAAAAACTGAAGGCTTTCACAGACAGCACAAATCTGTTGGTAGATGAAATTAACGACAGATGTTTATTAGTTAACAACACATTTTGTACGTCAAATAACAGCTCTTCCCCCTAAAAAACCGCTAAAATTGCCAGCTACAGACTCCCTTACATTGACAGAGATGTTTATTAAAAGAATAATGCTATATAGCACCAGTGGTGCTTCAGGTGGCCATATTTGATATGTGCAATTAAATTGATGTTTTAACTTTGCATTTAAATGAACTTATCATTTAATGATATCTAATTGTCACCTAGACGGGTGCTAAATACCAGTAATACTAAATAACATTACTCTTACCAAAATCACAAAAGCTCACGGAAATAAACTTGACCACCTCCACCATAAAACGTATCAAGTTCAAAATTCATATAAATCAAATGAACAAGTGCTTTCTTCTATTACACTAAGCAAATATTTGTTTAGCATATCCATTTCAATTTTTCTGCATAATTTGCAAGCCTTCACATAAATCAGCAAGGACAATAACTTGAATAGTAATCAGCAAACTGATACCATATAAAATGTACAAGCTCCATTTAAAAAAAAAAACCCGAATACTATGGATTCATAAGAAATTCGACTACACCATATATGCATATGCATTCATAAGCAATTTCTTTCGTAAAGGTGAGATTTTTACCTGTACTCTTTGTAGTGATCAAAGGAATCACCACTCCACCCTTTAGTTTTATCAGCTGCCATAACTGAAAACGAGATCAAACACACTATCACTTCAAATGCTCTAAACCCCAAAGCCACCCTTTTCAAATTCACCTCCCTTCTCGACCTCCTCCATGTTGATCCCACCGCCCTTGGCTGACTCTCTCTGCCCACCTCCTCCGCACGAGAGCCATTACCCTCCTCCACCTCACCAATATCACCCCCCACTGGCCCCACCTTAGTCACACCCGGCGACGACCCCTCTTTCACCGACCTGTTATAAACAACCACCTGAGACATCCCCAGCCCAGTCTTCGCCTGAAAATCAAGATCCTCGGACTGCAGCAGATACGGCCGCTGACCCTTCCCACTGGCAACCACAGGCATGGATGACAAATCAAGATTCTCCGACGTGTATTTCTCAGAATGGGGCCGTGGCTTCCATTCTTTGCCCCCAGAAACCGGAGACTCCGCCTTTAAATTAGGATTTCGCGGCGATGGAACAGCATAGTATTTATCCATAGCTTCAGATGTTTTGTTTTTCTTACTACTAAAAGTGACATTGACATTTTCTGTTTGATGATATGGATCATCGGAGCGGAGGGGTGATTCAGAACGGAGTGGGGAGTGGAAAGAGTCCACCTGACTCGTTGTTGACTCAGTGTCGGATATTGATATGTGGCTGTTGCTACTTGCCATAATTTTCTGGTTAAGATTACTCGGGTCCGTGTTTTCCATTTCTGTGAACTATTGCTCCGCTCTTTGAAATTGGAGAAGAGTAGAATTGAAAGACAGGAAGTGAGAATGAGCAGAAGAATTTACAGAGAAGAAGGGTCGTTTTATATTCTCCTACAAGCAAATTCTTTACGTGACAAAATTTTACGATCCGACAATCTTCTCTTTGGGATTCATTAATTTCAGTTACAACCCTTGAGGTTTCTAATAATTACAAAATCCCCTCATATTCACTTTTTCATGTATATCTCATGCTCAAGTCGAGACTTAGAGCTTGTTTGGGAGAAATTTTCGGGGGAAGAATTGATTTTGAATAGTGATATGATGGGAAATGTGTAATTGAAAAAAAAAGAAAAAATTATTGATGTAATGAAAAATATTATTTTATTGAAAAATGTGTGATTGAAAATGAGAATTGATTTACTGTAGAAAAATCTAATCACTCCCAAACATGGCCTTAAGGGGTACGTAAACATCTATAGATAAATAAAGCGAAAATTGTCTGATAGATAGATAGGATTATATCTGCGTACAATTTTTCAAAACTCTAAGAAAGTATTTGAATATAGATTTCGAATCTTCTGTCTCTTTCTACTCAAATCCGATCGTATTACTTGCAAAGATTCATATATTTAAAAGTTAATGGAATGTCCAGACTGGTTTTTTAGACATTGATACAAAATTGTTAATTAGATGTTGAAAATATTAATCATGTTAGTTAAATAAACGAGAGGGTGGTTTCGATTATTTCAAAAACTTGAGATGCGATATTGCAATTGAAGTAAACCTGAGGGAGCTCATTGAAATTAATCTATATTAAATTTCAATATTCTTTCACCATATTAGTGACCAATGACTTGATATATTATTGTAGAGATTAATTTTATTACCAAATATTTACTAAATTAAAACTTCTCACGTGATTTTACCAAATATTTACCAAAAAATACGTTAAATTCATTACCTTTTAATGACAAAAAATTAAATATGGAAAAATTATTTCTGATTTTTGTAAATATTATAAAATAAGTATAAAACGGTAATGAATTTAACGTATTTTAATAAATATAAACAATTTGAAAGTTTAACATTATAATAAAAATCTATTATAGCCTGGTTAAAATTTAGATTTAATTTAAGTCAAAATCAACAATTTATTTTAATTGATCCTACAAATTTTCAACCACGTATTTTATCAATTTCTATCAAAACTATTAAAATTTTATTTTTAATCCCCATCAAACAAGGACAGAGAGATTAATTTTATTACTATTTATAATAATTTTATTAATTAATTGTAACTTAACCATACGTTTAGGGTTAATTTACCAAGTAAAATAAAGAAAAACCCTCATATTTAAGCTCAATCCTAACTTTGCCGGCAAGATTAAAACTTTTGTAACCACCATTGTACAATGAAAAAAAGAACGTTTTTTCTTGGATAATGCTAGAGGTACACAAGCATCTACATAAGGGTATCCATAATATTGATGTGACATGTGATCTCACCTTTAATTCAAATCTGACACTTATACATCAATGACCGGATGATTGCCACATCAACATTATGAATACCCTTATGTAGATGCTTATGCACCTCTAGCATTATCCTTTTTTCTTCTCTTTAAAAAAAAAAAAGGGAAATTGAATCTACGCGTTATAAACCGGAGAAAACCCTTCAGCTTCTCATGTTTGACGAGGATTAAAATCAGATTTTTAAATAAATTTTGATAAAAATTGATGAAATGCGTTGTTGTAAAATTATGAATCCAATATGACGTGTGATTAAAATTAATTATTAACTTTGATTTAAATTAATTTCCGTCAAANGGGGGGGGGGGGGGGGGGTGCATAACTACATACTGTCAAAATGCATCTTCTCAGCCGAAGAAACAAGAGAAACCCTCAAAAGAAAGATCTGAACAACCCTGCCGCAAGACTCCTCTACGACTCAGTAACATGGCTCACTCAGGTAGTTTCAAACGATTGAAGAGCACAAGAAAGCTTTGCTCGGGGACGACATAAAGAAAACCGAGGTCTGCTCCTTTGACATACGGTCCCATACCCTACATATATCGTACACAATAGCATATTAGTGAAAACACTTGAATAAGCAACTCCAATGAATAAACAAAACACATCTCAAAGCTCGTCGCCATTTTAATTACCCTGCCGTTGAGTTGTAGAAGTTCACCCTCGACCCACTTTGGATTCCGGAACCCAAATTCTGCAATCCTTCCTTGACCTCTGTAGCTCGCAACCTGGAGGAAAGACACTATGATAAGTCACTTCTGAAATTTTAAAGAAATCGCCACAAAAATAAAATAAAAAGTGTGAAATAGAAATAGATCAGGCCGCAATCGCAACACCTACAAGCGCTAAACACATGATAAGATAGCAAATGCCCATCCATTATGTTAAATGGAAGCTTTTGCATGCAAATAAAACAAGATTTCTGACACGGTAAAGTGGATTAGGTAACACTAGACACTAGTACGCAAGTATCTTAAAATTGTCGAACATGGTGTAAAATATGCTGTGTCAATATATAAAATCCCATCCACCATCGTTCTATAACTAAGTCCACATCTCTCTAGGGAGGACTCCAATGAAACCTCCCAGTCTTGATACAAGTCACGATAGGTGCCATGATGCTATTGAATTGTGGTATAAATCCCCCATAAAAGGAAGCAAGACCATGAAAACTGCAAACTTCTGTAACTGTCATCGGCTGTGGCCATTAATTTACTGCCTCCACTTTTGTTGTGTCCACTGCTAACCCATCGTTCAAAACCACATACCCCAAACATGGTGTAATACCAAATATGCTCAGTGTCAATATATAAAATCCCATCCACCATCTTTATGCAACTAAGACCACATATCTCTATGAAAAATTAAACCCTAGTTTGACATCCATTTTTTTCTAACTCTATCTTTTTCTCTTTCTTCATTTAAACTATACATTCTATCAATAAAATAATATTACACATAAACCCAAAAATTTTCCTTACTTTTTAACCACACATTCTTCCATCAATCATTATTCCAAATCAAATTCTTCTCCAAAATGGGTGTCAAATGAGGGCCAAGTTTTTACAGTTCTATGACCTATTACCATAAGAGAGACATCTGAGTTTTGCCCAAGGAAAATGAAGAAAGCATCTATATGCTTGCATAGAACAAATAAGTCCTCTCAGACACAATAAAAACCTAAGGTGTAGTTCTCTTTGTGTTTCAATTTTCTATTTTGAGTTTTGAATTCGTTTTGTGTTTTGTGTTTTGAGTGTCAATTTTGAAATTGCTGAAAATGCGTTCTGTTTGTTGTTTTGGAAACTATTTCTGAAAACATGAAACTAAAAAATACGTTTACTTTGAAACTCAAATCAATGTTTTGTGTATAATAGTTTTTTAAAGAAACCACCACAACACCGCCACAAACATCATGAACCACTGCCAAAATCACCACCACCACCACCTCCACCTCTTTGCACTGCCAAAATCAACACCACCACCACCTTCAACCACTTCCAAAATCGACCTCAATCAACACCACCTCCGCCACCTTCACCCACTGCCCTGTTGACCTAAATCAATACCACCACCACCTTCAACCACTGCCCTGCCGACCTAAATCAATACCACCACCACCTTCAACCACTGCCGAAATCAATACCACCACATCCACCTCTTTGCACTACCAAAATCAACACCACCACCACCACCCTCAACCACTTCCAAAATTGACAGAGGATCAACACCACCTCCGCCACCTTCAACCACTGCCCTACCCGACCTAAATCAATACCACCACCACCACCTCTTTGCACTGCCAAAATCAACACAACCACCACCTTCAACCACTTCCAAAATCGACCTCAATCAACACCATCATCAACCATCTACCACCACCAAAATCAATACAACCAAAAAACACCCAAACAAAAAATACTACAGAAAAAAGAGAGAGGAGGCTGAGACGAACGTCGCCGGCGTCGAAGAAAGAGGCTACGAGACGAACGTCCACAGCAGCGTCGCCTCCCATGGGTCGCGACGAATAGCTCACGACGCTGTGTTCAAAGTAACGTTGCCTCCCTAGTCCCCACTCCGGCGCTGGCGCTGACACTGGCCCAACAGCAACGTCCGGTTGCAAAGAAGAGGAGATCGCCGGCTATTCTCTTCTGGAGACGAGAGAAGACGGAAGAGACGAACGGATTTGGGTTGGGGAAGAAATGGGTCATTTTGGAACAGTAGGTTGTGTTTTGCGCGTTTTCAAAATTTTTCGAGTTTTGTACACAAAACATCCAAAACGTTAAAAACATCATTTTGTGTTTTCAGTGCAATTTTTTTTGTGTTTTCCAAAACTCGTTTTCGAAAATAGGAAAGAGAACGCGTTTTGGGCGTTTTCGAAAATCGAAAACAGAAAACGGTCCGAAAACGACAAAGAGAACAGGCCCTAAGTTTTCCAGGACAGTCAAGGATACTACTGCCAAAGAACGACCCATAAAAAAGGTTGGAAAGGCAAGGAGAAAGGAAGGAAAAAATACTGAATATTGTGGATTACACTGTTCTACAATCATATAGACTTCACTACAATATTGAGACCCTGAAAGGCAGAAAACGGAAGGACGTGATCATGTGACTCACCATCCTTAAAACTTAAAGCACGCATAAGTATAAAACATTCAACATGGGGAGGGGGAGGGGGAATCACAGGTGCATACCACTCCTAGCTCATCTGGGTACATTCCTCGATTGGCGATACGACTACCTTTTCCAATTTTGGCACGGAATGTTACCTGAAGTTAATTACGGCACGTACAATTAGCATGTAATCAAATAGTAATGCACAAACACAATAAACAATAATCTAGAAACCTGGCCAGCAGGAACATTTAAATCCCCTGTCAGCTTGACAGCCTCGACATACTCAAAGAACTCCATGTTAGAAGATTTCTCTTCACTATTCATATTCCAGTTACCATACTTGCGCCTCAATTGCACTACCTCAGTACCATAAGGGCCAAATGCACCAACATATAGGCCTACACAAACAAGAATAGGTTAAATGAGAAAATATGTGACATTTGTTTAAACTCCATATACATGCAATGGGTTGGAGAGAGAGAGAGAGAGGAAAGTAACTCACCATCAAAGGGATCTAAATCACCTTTGGAGGTAGTAATACGACTAAAATTTGTGTATTCCGATACCCTATTCCGCTTCTGTGCCTGATTCACTGCAAGCTTCACTATTTCTCTCACATCTCTGGAGATCTATGATAATTGCACATTATAATTCAGTGATTTAAAGAAACATGGACAAAAAAGAGAAGAAAGTACACAAAGCTACATGAAGAAGTATGAGCTATCTGAAACAAGATCTATCAATAAGGAACCGACCATATGAAAGATGATGTTTCAGGCAAATTTAAAAATTCTCAACTTTGCCCAATTTGTAACATAATAACTGCGTCTACAAATTGAGCTCAATTCTCTGATGAAGAGAAATAGAGTGTAAATCTACGAGGTCTTTGCTTAGACCAAGATCAGGATTTTAGAAAAGCAAAAGAAGAAGACAATAACAAGTATCATTTTAGGCTTAGGTGATAACAACTCTTAAAATGGTATCTTACTATGGGGAAAAAAAAAATAGAAATCAAATCACTCGAGCCTCAAGATGATTGCTTATCTCCCTGCAATTTACACGCCTCGTTCATACCAACAGTAACGAGCACAAAAGTTAAGACTTCCAAAAATATTTCTACTATTAATTTCTTTATACTGTGGCCTGCGTTACACACATTCTTTCCTATCCATACCTTCGAAGAAACTTTATCAGAACTCCAGAATGCCTTGGCAACATCAGGGGGCATCAGCTCAGAAACACCTTGGGCAGCCATAGTAGCCACTTTGGTCTTTGATGCTATGTTCTCGTCAGTATTGTGATCTTGATATCTCTTTGGGATGTGCAACACAAAAGAATCTCTTTCCATATCCTTGATATTAGCTGGGACACGAACATAATCATCCTTGGTAGGAGTGTCTTCTTTATTATGTAAAATCCCACCAATAAATAGTTTCATATCTAAATCAGTTTCGTCTTCCATGGTGTCACTATCTCCTTGGCTAGCAGCCTGATCTGTCTGATTGTCATCCAAATCACTATCTTCCTCTTCAGTATTCTCGCTGGTAATCGTATTCTCACTGTCTTCTATAATCTGCTTGAAAGAATCGCCATCTTCTGTTATTTCTTCAGTAACATTAACCTTCATCACCTTGACCTTCAGGTTGGGAATTTTTTCTTTGAGAAAATTTATCACACTTTTTATTCCATCTTCAGCAGCTCCTTCCAAATCAACGCTCTTTCCCTCACCTTTTTTGGTTTCATTTTCTTCCACTTTAACATCAACTACAGATGCATTCTCGATCTCGGCTGCTGATGGCCCTTTTGAGGATATATCAGATGATGACGAACTTGAATTTGCAGGACTTCTGTTGATTCTTTGCAGAAATACTACCTGTAAGGCTGTTTGATATCAGATAAAGATTGTGCAAGACAATATTAAACGCGTTGAGAGAGGGCACATTAGCAGTTAGAGATGTCCAGATTTGTCCATAGTAGTTAAATAAATTATATTATTCCTTCTCACGGATATTGCCTCCATTAGTAGGTAATAAAAAGATAGCAACTAAGCTTGGTTCTGTCCACGTGCTTATTAGGTTCGATCAATTTCTTAATACAAATAATTTGGTTATAAAAATAAGAAATTGCCAAAATTCCAAACTGAACGTGTTTTCTAGGTTTCTGTTTTGAGAAACAGTCCTTCAAAATGATAAACCAAATACGTTTTTAGCAATATTAAAATAGACCTTCAAACACAAACCAAACGGGCCCTAAGTCTTCAACAGAAAACATTTACAGCTTATCCAAATAACAATTACATGTTACATGTTTCTTTTGCAGATATAAATTACTCAACAATTCTAAAAAACTTTAAAAATAAAAATTTAAAATAATAATAATAATAATAATAATAATAATAATAATAATAATAATAATAATAATAATAATAATAATNGAGCAGAAGATTCATAGTTTTCAGTTCGATATTCTTGTTAGTTGTTATTACCTTGGACTGTAACTTCTACCAACAAATCTGCCCACTCCTGGCGTAATTTGTATTAATCTACCAAAAGGATCAGAATCCTTCGAAAAGCCCACCCACCAACCAACCTGCATAAATGTAATGAATATTATGACATAAACATCAATGTTTACATAAGAAAACTGAATTAGTTGTTAAAGCATAAAAATGACACAGCAATGAACAACAACAGCAACGAAGAGCTTCCACAATTTTCTCACACCTGTGCTGTAGAAGCATAGAGTAACAATGCATCAAAGTCTTTCCTCGCATGTTTTCCATTTTCTCATATGGATCTCTTTACCCAGCGACACTATTAAATATTGATGTTGGCCTTACCAGTAAGGCCATATATCCACACAGTGCTGCACTGCGTGGAAGTTACCATGACTGGTAGTTCCCTTTGGAAATACAAGAATACATCCATAAATCTTAAAATCCATTTTGAAGTGGAGAGAAACTACTTCAAAGACTACTCAGGTAACTAATATTTTCAAATTGCTTGCTCACAGGAATTAGAATTCATTAAAGCATTGCTCCTAAGTTTTTATTTTATTGGATTGTTTTAGTTGTTTTGGGGTTATTTACAAGCTTTCTTAAACTATTTTTAGATGCATTTAAAACCTAGTTCCAAAGGATAAGAATGTCTTTTGAATTGGGCAACAGAAAGTTTCACCAACAATGACCTACATAACAAATTGTATAGAGTAGCCTACATGCATATCCATAATCATATGGCAGCTAGAAGGGAGGAAAGGAAACCATCTTTTAAGCAAGAGCACAAATTCCTCAATTATGGCACTTGCTAGCTTTCTTATAAATTGATGTGCTATATTGAGGTCAATATATGAGGAATTGGACTGCATAACTATGGTTCATATGCTAACAATAATTGAATTAAAAAAAAAAAATCAGAAATATGGAGAAAAGTGCATAGAGCAAATGAGACAAAAATGAAAATATTAAATTGGCATCAGTACAATATTTGATTTGTTGGTTTTCAACAACTAAAATTCATTTTCTAACCCAAAATAAAAGAAGAAGAAGAAAATGCCTTGTTTTTCATTGTATAAGAAGTGGTTTTGAAAATCATTGAATAATATTGTCTTATTTAATTATCAAAACTATCATGAAAAAGAATAGCCTTGAAGATGACAAAGTCAGGGTTGATACCAACCTAGCATAGCTAAATGAGCTCAAAATAGAAACATAATAGTTTGAAGCACTAAATATCTTGTATCTCCATGGAACATCTCATAAGTAATAGATAACATAGATACTGGATAATAGGAGTTAATGTCAATCCAAAATTAACTAATTCAAAGAGTGGAAGGGCAATCAAGCGTGGTTCCAATTATGCATTTGCATCATAACTTTTTTTTTTTTTTTTTTCGGTTCATTTGAAAATACCAATTAGTTAACTAATCCGCCAGCTAATTACAGAAATAGCTAATTAGATCCTAGAATCATGGAGGCTTGAATTTTCCAACTATTTTAAGGTTTAGAATGTCAGGACAGCATCTATAAAAAATCGATTCTCAACATGGTTCAAAAACTCGGTTTTAAGCATGCCTCAAGGCACAATTATTTATGCTATTTTATATAGGCACACATGTGCCTCAAATCTGCTGTTAAAATGTAAAAAAAGCATCAGAAACTTTATTTCTAAGTCGGCCCACCAGTTACTTGTTTGACCTTAAACTGATTTATATTATACTATACTCCACCTAAGACAAACAAAACCAAAAAGCTTCAGCAATCTTCTCCACACCAACACCAAATTCCCAAGATAGAAACCACCTTCTCCCATAAGTCTAAAAATTTCAGGCAGTTGCATGTAATTCTGGTATTTTAAAAAAAAATTCTTCTCATTGCTTTTGTTTTGACACCAAGTCACCAACTACAATTTTTCTTTGACCAGGGCAGCTCCGCATACAGAAAATTTAATATTTGCTACTCCATAAACTTATTTTGGTGATAATTCCATGGAGAGTTCTTTAAGATTGATGTTTATGGTTTATTATGTTTATATGTTTATTTTTATATTATTTTATAATTTTTTGGTTTGTGGTGAGGCTTATGCCTCGAAGCACCTCAAGGCTTACGTTCAGGTATCTAGATAACATAAGATAACACTGTAATCGTCAAACAACAAGAAGCTAAACTTTATTTTAAAAACCCTCAAGTCAGTTACACAAGTCATTTTCACCATTAAATATATTTACATTAGTAATTTGTTATTATAGTCACATTTATGAAACAGCACGTGCAAAAAATGATAGGTTGGTGGGGCTTGATTTCAACATACAACGGGTAGAATTTGACAGGCTCTGATAGAAACAGAATGCCTCAAAATTCTTTAGAAGACGCCACCACCAGCAGCATGAAGGCATGACATGGCTGGCTGCAATTGGTATTTGGGAAAGGAAACCTGTGGGCCTTAGCATGGATTCTTTTCAGATGTTGCGCATTTTAATTGCAATAACACACAGAATGGTGGTACATGTTTACAGCAGTTGTAAATCAATGACTTGGTTGCAGGTGAGGCACTTCAAATTCCACAGATTGTGTAAGCTCTAGATACATGTGAACATGTGCAAATGCATACGCACACACATAGACTCCAAAATTCTGAAGTGGAGTCAGAAATTCATCTACAATAACCAATGCTAATTTAGATTTACAATCTCCACTAGACATAGAACCAACAATTTATCATTTGACAGCACTCTTTGGGAATGACTCCCTATTCCTCGTGACTGCTCAAGTCCAGCAACATTTGAATTCAATACTAATTCGCTAGATGATCTCTCTCTTTCAACAGGCTCAAAGGGTGATGATATCATAAGCATCTTTTTTGTCTGGTCACAGATATAAAACTTTATAGAATCCTTTTTTATGCCTCCCGCTTTTATACTGAAGATCATCGGACAATTTCACTTGACAGAGGTAACATATCAGTCTACCGTCTTACTTTGACCTAGCTACTAGTGGAAACAGAATGCAAAAAAATCCAGGACACATTTATCGATTTGGCTTATAGTAAAAATTCAATGGACTTATGAGATTTTGCAGTCCACAGTCTTAATGAAAGTTATTGACAAGTTCTGGGAGATTCTATCACAGGTGATGCACTAATACACTCGACAGCGTCTAAATACAAATTTGAATATACTTGATAATTCAATGGTGAACTTCCTCACATATGAAAATCTTATTGATATATACCATTTCACTTTTTCAATGTCCTTTTTTGCATGTCCCTTGCAAGAAAAGAGAGAGGTACAACAAGGTGTTTCTGTGCGTGCCTATTGTTTCACCTCTCTGATACATTTCCGTATTGGCCCTTCACACTGAAAAATTCCCAGACCAGATAGAGGATAGAAGATAAGGAAGTTACTACTGGGGAAAAAAAGCAAGAATATGAAAACACTGAATAGAAAAATGCACCCTACTCCTTGGCCAGAGGAAGAAAAAGCGAGCAATCTGATTCTGACTAATGAACGGGCAAAAAACATGAAACTGCTAGCACACAAGAAAATTACCAGCCCGCTTCCTGTACTTCGGCACAATGTTGAAGCGTCACTGTAACGTTCTTCGTCAATTGCGTTCTAAAGAAAACAGCAAAAGATAAAGAACTCCAATTTTATATGCAGACAGCAACAACTTATATCAACATCTATTTTACCTTCAATTGAGACATAATTTCAGCAATACTATCTTTTGATGTTGCTTCTGCAATAGCCATTTTCAACTTACCAGCTTCGTGGAAGTCTTCCTTCTCTATTGCATCTTCTAATTGAAACTGTAAATTATAGCAACATTCCAAATATCATATTAAATCAATATGTCAAGTCAGCTGTCTAGATGTTCTTACTAAAGCCAATACATCACTGCACAAACTAAAAGAACTTTTTTCCAGTTCAATGACTAATGTACGCTTATTAAACTTCTCATAGACAATTAGTGATGTAGAGTAGATGTATATTCGAGGCCTAAAAGAAATTAAATTAGTTAGAATTTTCTTTATTTCAAATTTATATAATTTTTTATTTATTTTACTTATAGTCTTTATTACCTTAGGCTAGTTTAAGCCCAATATAAATGTGTTAGAATTGTCTGAATGCCTCTCAATTGAGAGTTTCTTCCCATTAAATAGAAACTTTGTCCCTAATTACCGTACCTAATCACATTCAAAATATTTTTATCAAATCTCCTAATTACCTCACTTTCCTAGTTACAACGTAATCATCTCTCTTATATAAGGAATAAAGACTATTCTATATTTACAATACAATTACGTACATGATGTGTGTGATACACTGACATTGAAGAACCACAATTCCAATAATAGCCTAATCATATTGACTTTGGATAAAATTAAAATCAAGGAGAGTAGTGCGAAATTTATCAACCATGCCCGCGGTGCTTGCTTTAAACCATATAATGATCGCTTCAAATGACAGACTTTAGAGAATGAGTGGGTGAACAGGCTAGGAGGAGGAGTCATGTATACTTCTTTCCGTTCTGATGTAGAAAAGCATTCTTGACGTCAATTTGTTGGAATGACCATTCTTGGGATGCAGCGATGTCAATGATAGTGCGTATTGTAGTCATTTTAGCCAATGGTGCAAACGTCTCCTCAAAATCAATGTTGTACTCTTGTCTGTTGCCAAGTGCCACCAGGCGTGCCTTATGTCGTTCTATGGAACCATCAGCGCATAGCATCTTTGTGTAAACTCATTTGCTACCAGTAACATTTACCCCATTTGGACAGGGTACAATGTCCCAAGTATGATTGTCTTGAAGATCATGAAGTTCTTCATGCATAGCTTGCTTCTAGCAGGCTTGACTAGCATCCTGAGAACAAAATTTTGGGACAATAGTATCAATTGTGGCTTGGAGTGCAGTATGTGAGAAACCATACTTATTTGGAGGATGCGTGAGACGACTAGAGAGTCGAAGTTCAAGCTCCGGAGGACGAGGATCGGGTTCAGGATTAGACGTCGGTTCGAGATCAGTGGAGGAAGCACTATGATATACAATTCCTGGTTTAAAGTGTTCAATATGACAAGGCATAGCATCAAAAGCAGGAAGAGTGACAAAAGCGGAATCATGAGTGATACGAGACTGGAAGAAATATTGGTTTTCAAAGAAAACTACATTTCAAGAAATGCATGGCTTATTAGTGTCCGCATCGTAACACACAAACCCTTTATGTATAGGACTGTATCCCATGAAAGCACACTTAGTCGCTTGAGTCTTAAGCTTGTGACGTTCAGTGGATGGTAAATAAAAAAAGCAGACACAACCAAAAGTGTGTAAAGAATGATATAATTACTTCTGCTGGACTTGGGTAAGGCGACTCGATTCTCACACCTATAGAGGTCAATCTGAAGCTTCATCAGGCAGAAGGAGATCTTTTAGCCGATCCTTTGTTATATCGACAGTTGGTAGGCAGTTTGAACTAATTGACGATTAGAAGGCTTGCTATCTCTTTTGCAGTCCAACAAGTTAACTAGTTTATGCAGGCCACTTGACATTTTCATTTGGCCGATGTATGACGTATCCTTTGTTATCTAAAGGGTACATCTGGTCGAGTCTTATTCTTTCTTTTTGGGACTTTTCTACAGTTGATTGATTTTACTAATGCTGATTGGGCTGGCTGCGAGGATACTCGATGGTCGATTACTGGTTGGTGCATGTTTCTTGACGATGCACTTATCTCTTGGAAGAGTAAAAAACAAGATCGTGTCTCGAATTCTTCCACTGAGTCTAAATATCGAGCTATGTCCTCCACCTGCTCTGAGAATGTGTGGCTTCGGGGCCTACTGGGTAAACTTGGTTTTCATCCGCTTACTCCTACTCCTACCCCTACTCCCCTTCATACTGATAATACAAGCGCTATTCAAATTGCTGCTAATCTGGTATTCCATAAGTGGACCAAGCATATTGATGTCGATTGTCACTCCATTCGAGAAACAAATGACCTACAAGTGATTAAATTTCCTCAAGTCTTTGTAGATCTTCAGACCGCTAGCATATTTACCATAGCTCTCGGACGTCTTCGACATCAGTTCATTGTTGACAAACTAATGTTTTTTGATCGACCAACATCAATTTAAGGAGGGGTGTTAGTGTATCACACACATCATGTACATAATTATATTGTAAATATAGAATAGACTTTATTCCTTATATAAGAGATATGATTATGTTGCAACTAGGAAAGAGAGGTAATTAGGAGATTTGATATAAATACTTTGACTGTAATTAGGTACGGTAATTAGCGACGAAATTCCTATTTAATGGGAAGAAACTATCAATTGAGAGGCATTCATACAATTCTAACAATATGGTCATGTTTTGTATTAAGCACCACCTTATAGAATAAAATTACAAGCTTCCCTCTAAATCAAACAATTTATCTCTCTCTCTTCATTTGTGTCCGTCGTCATATAAATGTTTTAGCTCTTTTTACTCCAATTATTAGAGTGGTTTTCATATTTGGTACTTCTCCAAAAAATTCGATTGATTAACACGAGGAAGGGAAGAAATTGACTAAATATAAATGCCAATTATAACTATCTCCTCAAAACAATAGGGGCAAAAAAATCAACTTATGTTGTATGTCGGAGCAAAAAGAAAAGGAAGGGTGGGATTTATTACTCTATACTTGAACACAGTGGTCAAAAGATTGTGAAAAATGATTGAATTACAAAAATTTAATCAATGTGAATTGCCACCCACATGTTATGCATGTTAGCAAAGTGTCAATTGTAGTATTGAAAAATTCACACCCCAAACATAATGTAAAGAGATGCATGTTGTTCATACACCAAAATTCTTTTTTTTTTTTTTTTTTCCCTCTTTACTTCTTTTACCCTTCCGTCCTTGTTACTATTTCTTTAAGACTCAAAAGAGTGTAAAGAGATGCATCATGTATGTTTCTCTGGTAACAAATTTCAACTCTTTTTTTCTTTAATCTTGCTGAGTGCAGACCAATTGAAGGTACCAAATACGCCATTAGAGTATTACCGTAAGTTTCATGCGTTCATTATAGTTCGGTAACTCTTACATGATGGGAAATAAGTACTTCGTAGCAGTTATTTTCTCAGATAGGTAAGAAACCTAAAATTCTATAAGCACTTCAACATTTTGCATCCTAGAGCTTTTAATTATTGTGGATAAGCTACATCAGAAAACGAGGGGGGGCAGGGGAGCTGGAATTTATATGCACGTGTCAAGTCGAACACATAATTTACACTTTGTGTCACTTAAGTTTTGAGGCGTTAGCCATCAACATTCCAGAAACTCGTTATTTGCTAATTTCTTTGAAACAACTTACCAATTTCACACTTCAAATCAAAATTTAGCACACTAAGAAATGTCTGATTGAAACATTCTTACACCGATAATGTTATCAGCAAAACAAGGAAATTGCATATTGCAAAATAAAGACACTGGAGCGAGCATATTTGACTAGAAGAAATTCATGACCAGCACAAGAATCCTTCCAATTGCCACAAAACCAATAATTATACAAATATATTAAGCACACGAACCTATATACTGAAATTTTCTTCTAGCGTCAGAAATCACACAAAATATGTATAAAACCCATTTCAAAAATTTTAAAAACTGAGCCACCTGCAGCATAATTCAGACGATACATTAATATGCATTGCCTTTCAGATAGTATTAGCATCATACACATTTTTTTGAAACCCATGTCCTAAAATTAAGATTGAGTGCGATTACACTTTAAAAATCTTAAATATGTATACTTCGAGAATTGTTTTATTTGACTATGTACACTTAGTTTAATACTGCGGCTACTAGTCCTATACAAAGGCTGCCTAATTTCTCGTTGTTTTTTCTCATTTAAATTGATAATGCACTTCCTGTCTATCATCCTTTGATTAATAAAACAACATGATTACCTGTCAAAAAAAATCTTAATTATGTAGCTTACATACAGATATGGAATAGACGTCAGAAATCTATTTCATAAACATCATTACATCAAAACTGGGGACGATTTGCTTAAGCGTCTTCGTAACCTTATAAGTGCTTATAAATTAAAGTAGACCCTCTACAAAAGCCCAGGCAAAGAATCATAGCTCGGAACAATTTTAATAAACGTATCATATATATAGCATCAACATTCAACAATCAGGCTCAACATATCAAAAACCCACTCTCAGAATTCAAGAGTGAGCACAATTATAACAAAAAATATATATATAAATACCCAAGTGCATATGCATGTAAAGATTGAACCTTTAGAACAGAGGCATAACTCTCCGCCTGCTCAATCTCAGAAAAATGCCGGGTCCACCTATTCCAGTCCCATTCAGCAGATGATGAAGAACAAGTAGAAGAATAAGAACTGTAATCGCTCCTAGTGTTGGTGTTGTTACTATTGTTATCTTGATTGCTGGTGCAGCGGCAAGAAAGTATTGATTTCTTGCTTTTTCTAAAAACCAACTTCCTCGGGAAATTGACGGGACAATTTATCTTTGTAAAAGGGGAGATTTCTGGTGAAGAAGAAGATGAAGGACGCAATTGAGGAAGTGGGTTTACGGTGGCGCCAGCCACTGCCATTTCTTAGTCTGGAACTGGGAACGGTGGAATGTGATTTTTTCTGGTACTGAGAAGGAGGGGTTATTGAATTCTTATGGATAGGATCGACGGGAGGATAATACGATGCTAATTCATACACCCCTATCGTGTCTGGGATTGAGATCTAAATGGGATGGGCCCCTTACTAATCTTTAACTCTTTCCTTCCTTGGTTGGTATTTGTACACCGTAATTTATAGATTGATGTACAAAATTATGATACTAAAAAGAGAAAAAAATAGAAAAGCAAAAAAGGAGTACATCGAGTACATCTTTCTCTACACTAACTTTTACATTTTGCCATGTATCACTAGAGGTGGCAATCACGAGCGGAGCTCGTGGCTCGCGGGCCGAGCTGAACTCCGACTCGTGAGCTCGTCAATTATTTTATTTTATTTTTATATATAAGATAAACCCTTTTTTTTGGGGTCTTTTTGGAAATACAACCAACTACAAAGTAAATTCTTTGGTCTCTCCATTTTCTCACACCCTTGGGACATTTTTACCAGTTTACTGATGTAAAGCCAAGGGAGAACACATTAAGTCCATGTTTGAATCACATTATTTTTTTCATTTTTATTTTTCTACTCATTTTTAACCACACATTCTTCAATAAAATAATATTTTTCATCACATCAATAATTTTTCTTTTATTTTTAACCACATATTCCTCATTATACCACTTTAAAAAAATGCATTCTCTCATTTTAATGTGCACCAAACAAGCTCTAATTATAGTTCGAAGAGAAATTAAAATAGCATGTTCATATTGCTTTTTGTTCAAGTAATTCATTTGAATCATCTTAAATGAAACCATGCCCTAGAAAGCGAAGGTGCGTCTGTTCATGTCACTCAAGGGTTTTGTTGATCTGCTTTGGTTAGATGTATAAATGGGAAAGATAAAGATAAAACAATTAACTAAAGAACAAATTATGAAATATCAGACAACACATGATACAAAAAGAAAGATAGATCCCTCTACTTGAAAGACAATTGAACAATCTCCCCTGTTTTATTTTTAAGTGCCCCCTTGATCGAGAGACCTCTGTCCAATAGAAGCTCGACCGAGAGAGGGGTCATCCTATCCGGTGTGGACTGAAAAGGTCTCGCAAGGCCTGTCACTGGTAGTCTGAGAACCTTTTCTTTGTTGCTGCAGTGATGATAGGAAGTGGAATGGGAGTACCCAATCCATTAAAAGGACTTAGCCAAGTGGAAAAACAACGTAATCTGCCATGTTGATGGTTATTTATCAATAAAACTGCAAGCAGCAGTAAATGGTATGCTTATTTTATAAATCATATCAGTGGATATTGGATATTTCATTTCAAGTGTGAGGGAGAGGGAGTAGTTCTTGAACTACATGTGATGGCAGTTGAAACTTGAAAGAGGAAATATGGATAACATACTAATAAATAAAATCATTCTTTATTTGTCCCACGGGAAAATATTGATAGTCTGTAGTCCTATTTTGTCAGGATGGTGATGCTATATCCGTTATAAAGGCAGGAAAGCTGAGGTTTGCTAAACCGAACAAGTACTGGATTGAAAGCTCCCATAAACGGGTGAGTCTGATGCTTGAATTGCTTGACAACCAAAATAGTATGAAAAAACCAATTTTACGTACCAATTATTTTGAACTCATATCAGATTTGGTTTTTTAATTTGTGCCTTCTTGAAGAATGTGTAGATTTCTGTACTGTGAATAATCTGTTTTCCTGATTTTATATTTTCTGCTGCCCAGTTTCCTCATAGTTCATTCAGAACCTTGCATTTTAAGCTTTTAACATGTCAAATATTGATATTTAAATTAATAAACATTGTCGTGTAAGTAGTTTCTTCTTTTCTCTTATTTTCTTAGCAAGTCGTCTTATTACTAATATATGCCATTATGCATTAGTCATTGAACTCATTTCTCAAATTAAATTTCCTAGTAGACCAAAATTGCATTGGTCAATTGTTTTCAATAAGATTATTTTTCCTTTATTTTTCTTAAATACATTCTAATTGTGAATTTCTAAAGGACCCAATTTCTTCGTGTTCCTTGTACTTCTAGAAGCTTCATTAAATTCATGTTTACAAATCATTTTTTCCTTATACCTTATGCATGAAAGGAAGATGCATTGTTGGTCTGTGTTAGGGAAAACACAGCATATATAGACTCCAAACCAATGCTAACAGAGTTCAACAACTCCTAATCAGATTCTTCTCAATTACAAAATATATAGCATAATGATCCAACATTTTCATATCATATATATTAATCAACAGACAGCAGAAACCATGAAGAACTGAGGACTGAACATCATAAATCGAGACAAATAAACAAGGCATAATGTATATATATCAAGGTACTGAATCAGAACTTAAATAAAGGCAGAAATCTACTTCCCTTCTACTGGCCGGAGCACACCGTTCTTGCTCCTATTTTCAGCTGAAATGCCTAGGTTCAGGAACAGCCTTCCACGCCATGCAATTCACCGTCCAGATAGAGATAAGAACCAACCAAAGTCTCCAACAATTTGGCTAAGGTCATCGATCCAAAGGAATCTACCAAAGCAGCCAAGAAACCCCTAAAATCTGACCTAAACCCTAAAAAATAAACCAAATAACTCAACCCTATTTCAGGTTTGAGCATCACACGGGTATTCCCTCAACAATAGGCTACCTGTTGGGAATTTACTTAACATGCACAGCGGAAAATTAATAATTTTTCAATTCCCACCACGGATCTGCTTTGTGTTTAAATAGAAACTGTGTTGAGAATAATACTTTTGATGAATTCTGCAAACTCTTTTGCTGATTCTCGAACTCCAATGATTACGATCTGCAATCCAAGCTGTCCAATTATCCAGACTCCAATGGTGATCTACACAGAGAACAAAAATGATGGCTAGGGTTTTCTTTTCTTGTACTAGCAAGAATAATGAAAATTTCATATGTTTTACAAACCCTAGCAGCCTATTAATATAAGTCCAAGTGGGCTGGCCCATCTCTAAACTTTACTCGGTCCGATATTTAATTAATCAAATTAAT